TTTATCAGCCCTCAGAGAAAGTTTGTTACTTACAAACCACTCATTAACTTTATCTAATTGTTCATTAACATGTTTAAAAAGTGTGTTAATATCTTTGTGTGAATAAAAGAGATTAGAGTCATCTACAAATAGAATAAAATTTATAAGATTTGATTATAAATAAAGATCATTATATACAGTAGAAACAACAATGGTTCTAGAATAGAACCTGGTGGAACCCTACAAGTTATTGAGTGTTTAACTGTTTCTTTTGAATCGTAGCATATGAATTGTTTTCTGTTTGTTAGTTTTCAAACCAAAGTAAATTTTTATTTCTAATACCATAGTGTTCAAATTACCGACTGAAATTTAAAACAAATAACTTAAGAGTCTATGGATGACAAATAACTTATGTAACACCCGCTTAAAACAAGTACTATTTTAATCAGTTAAATAAGGGATCATCTATAAATTACGTAACACAAACAAAAAAGATCAAAGGTTTTCCCTCGCAGAGTCGTTTTTTTTAATTTAAGTATAAAAGCAAAATAGCTCATTCTGTTTAATGAAAATCGCCGCCTAAAAGTGCTTCACATCTCCGACTTCTGTTTATAAATATATTTAGGGACGATCCCTAAACATAAAATTGATGCCAAGAATTTATTTTGTTATAAATAAAGTAATCTCGCTTCCAACAATATTAATTTCAGAAAAAATTAAAATATATTATGTAAAACAAATATATGCCAAAAGTATAACAAGTATTTTTATTACCTCTTGTTAATGTCTTCTCTTATAACATTGGTTAGCCGATTAGAGCATTTGACCACTATTTGAGATTGAAATCCACAATAAGTTTAAAAAAGTACTTGCTTAACATAAGTAATGTGAATATGATAATTTTACAAGTAATCTATGTTATGATAATTTTACAAGTAATCTATGTTATGATAATTTTACAAGTAATCTATGTTATGATAATTTTACAAGTAATCTATGTTATGATAATTTTACAAGTAATCTATGTTATGATAATTTTACAAGTAATCTATGTTATGATAATTTTACAAGTAATCTATGTTATGATAATTTTACAAGTAATCTATGTTATGATAATTTTACAAGTAATCTATGTTATGATAATTTTACAAGTAATCTATGTTATGATAATTTTACAAGTAATCTATGTTATGATAATTTTACAAGTAATCTATGTTATGATAATTTTACAAGTAATCTATGTTATGATAATTTTACAAGTAATCTATGTTATGATAACTTTACAAGTAATCTATGTTATGATAATTTTACAAGTAATCTATGTTATGATAATTTTACAAGTAATCTATGTTATGATAATTTTACAAGTAATCTATGTTATGATAATTTTACAAGTAATCTATGTTATGATAATTTTACAAGTAATCTATGTTATGATAATTTTACAAGTAATCTATGTTATGATAATTTTACAAGTAATCTATGTTATGATAATTTTACAAGTAATCTATGTTATGATAATTTTACAAGTAATCTATGTTATGATAATTTTACAAGTAATCTATGTTATGATAATTTTACAAGTAATCTATGTTATGATAATTTTACAAGTAATCTATGTTATGATAATTTTACAAGTAATCTATGTTATGATAATTTTACAAGTAATCTATGTTATGGATAGTATAAGTAAACTTTATTAAGTTTTTACATTTAAGAATAACATGCGTCCAGATAAAATAAAATCAGCCAAATACTAAAAAAAATACAATGTGTTGTGTGGAAGAAGTCAAAAGTTTTAGGTACTATGTGCGAAGTTCCACAAGAGATCAATCTTGAGGCCATTATTTTTTAAAGAAATATCAATGATTTCTGTAAAATATGTTTATTATTATGAAAGATATACTTATAATATGATAAAAATACAAGTTTATCTTATAATAATTTTGATGTAGAGATAATGATCAAAAAATTGAACACTGTACTCGAAAGTTTTAAGCTATGGTTCAAACCAAATAAATTATTTTTAAATATACAAGCTATACTTTCTTCCATAAACAAAAATATCATTTTGTAATAAGTTGTCATATTGTATAAATCAACAACCTTTCTTAATTATAAATTCCAAAAACTACTTTACAGGCTTGTTTATAGTTATTATTCGTACGCTAATATTAGCCCAACATTAAATGCAAAATTAACAAAACTACAAAGCTTACAAAACTATGAATTTGCAGTTTTGTAAGATTTGTTTAATTAAGTAATTTAATTAAGTAATTAATAAACCAATTAACTACTTGATTAAATTGTGATATGCTTCTCCTGTAATGAAATACATAAATGTCCTAGATGTATTAAAACTTAATTCGCTTCAAATACTGAATGGAATGTAATCTAATTATGAAAAGAGTTTATATGAAACTGTTCAAACCTTAAACATCAAAATATTAAAAATAGTTTATATTTTGATTATTAAAAGTTTTACTTTGTTTATTGGTTGTTATTGTTTCTTAAAAAAGACATTAAATATTTTAGTTATTTTTTTCAAAAAAATTAATCAGAATACTTTGTACATTGCCTTAGCTTGTGTAGCAAAATGAAGAAGAAAGTACTGAAAGTTTTGTCACTCGATAACAAAAACGGTATGAATATTTTTCTGTTCCTTGTCGCTGAGGCAGTAAAGGATCCTATAAGCGTATTACTCCAAAACTAAAACTAAAACTTCTCAAAGATAGAAACATAAACTCCAAAAACTAAAAGATAGAAACATAAACTCCAAAAACTTCTCAAAGATAGAAACATAAACTCCAAAAACGTGTTGAATTTGATCGCAACGTGGTAAAATTAAAACAACAAGTAAAAGAAATGTCCGAAAAATAAATAAAAGAATGACAGGAGCAAATAAAAGTCACATATTTTAATAAAGGAAAAGCCATGAAATCAATAAAAGGATGACATAATGAAGCAGAAGGCACATGATGAAGCAGAAGGCACATGATGAAGCAGAAAAACGTCCATAAAACCCATATAGTAAGCGTTTAGTGTTTTTACACAAACTTTAGCCTATTTATTTACTTTCTTATATTTTAAATGAAATAAAAACAATACAATAAATAAAAAAATATAAAAGTAAACTTTAGGAAAACAATTTTTTTAATAAGTTAAAAAAATAAACAATAGAAACAAAATATAAGCGCATCTCAATATAAAATAAATGTTGTTATTGGGGCTCTTGTAATTTTAGACATGATAAAGCGGTACATGTACTTCACCTCTCTGTTTTCCAAATTGTCACCGTTCAATGATCTATATCCTGGAAATTATACACTAAAATATTGAAATGATAAAACAACACATTGAGAATTAGTGTTTAACATAAAGAATTAGTGTTTTTAAATAGTTTTTTCAGAATAAGTGTATTTATTTATTTTTATTTTCATTCGTTTTTTTTATAATTTTTTCATTTGTTATATTTTCTTCTTTTATTGGGAGTGAACATATTATAAATGTCTGAAAATGTCTCAACCAGTCCATGCGTATAAGTGTAGAGAAATTAAGTTTAAATATATCATAAATACAGTTATTACATGATACACCAGTGTTCACACATGATACACCAGTGTTTACACATGATACATCAGTGTTCACACATGATACACCAGTCTTCACACATGATACACCAGTCTTCACACATGATACACCAGTCTTCACACATGATACACCAGTCTTCACACATGATACACCAGTTTTCACAAGACGGAACTTTGTTGCACAACGTTATATGTCAACTTTAAGGTTGAAAAATATTTTCATTCAAATTAGAGAAAAAAAATGCTATACTAAAAGATTTAATTGAATTGGTCATTAATTCATGACTAAACTAGTTTAGTCATGAATTAATGACCAATTCAATTAAATCCTTTAGTATAGCATTTTTTTTCTCTAATTTGAATGAAAATATTTTTGCGATATTTTTTTGCGATATTTTTTATGTACTTTGAACATCTTTTGTCTTTTATTCCTGCGTACCTAATGCTCATTGTAACAAAAACTTCATGTTGAATCGCTCTATTACACAAGTTTCATGACATTTGAATCTTTTCCCTCAATTTTTAAAGATATCAGTTAAAGTTAAAGATACAGTTAACTGTATCTTTAACTTTAACTGATATCTTTTTATGTACTTTGAACATCTTTTGTCTTTTATTCCTGCGTACCTAATGCTCATTGTAACAAAAACTTCATGTTGAATCGCTCTATCACACAAGTTTCATGACATTTGAATCTTTTCCCTCAATTTTTAAAGATATCAGTTAAAGTTAAAGATACAGTTAACTGTATCTTTAACTTTAACTGATATCTTTAAATATTTTCATTCAAATTAGAGAAAAAAAATGCTATATCAACATGAAGTTTTTGTTACAATGAGCATTAGGTACGCAGGAATAAAAGACAAAAGATGTTCAAAGTACATAAAAAATATCGCAAAATGTGCAACATCATTACATCAATCAAATTATCATTATAAAGAGTGTTTGATAAGCCTGAGTATTGTTTTATGTGAGACTTATTTTGAAAAAAAGCCAAATTAACACAACTTTGTTATTGCTATTTTGCAATAAATTTTATTTCAAACAATCAAAGAAGATTATAAAAAAGATTGAAATGTTAATTTTGAAAACCCTGTTTAAAAAAATATTGATATCAAAAAGTAACTAGAAAAGTACTGAGCTAAAACAAGAAGTAACTAATGAAGTTTATTAGGATATATGTTAGGAGCCAGTCATCACTTTTGAAATATTTACTCTTCCTCATTTTATTCGTAAAATCGCCTCTGTTTGGAGGCTCTGTGTTTAAAATTATCCAACCAAGATCAGTTGATAGTGGATGATACGTGTGGATTGTTTCTAAACCTAAAATAGTTCGAAATAACAATCTATGTTCTTTTAGTTTATTAAAAAGTTTCTATAAAGTAATAAAAATTAAAAATAAGTTGTTTAATATGAAAAATTGCAAAAAAATCATTTATTAAATATTTATTTTATTTTTAATCCTCGATTTCAGCATCTTCTCAATTTCAGCTAGACGTTATATCAATTTCAGCTAGACATCTTCTCAATTTCAGCTAGAAATCTTCAGCGTTAAATGCAATGTTTGCATTTTTTTAAACAAAAAAAAAAAAAAAAAAAGAAAAAAGCTGTTTAGTACACATGTAATGTGATAAATTTTCGTTTTTTTGCTCCTGTATGAAAACCGGTCTTTCTACCGCTCTTTGAGTTTTTTATTCAGTTTTTACTATGTTTTCTCAAAATATGGAAGAAATTCCTCATTATATAACTTGACTTTTGTAATGCAAGTTCTTTTTTTCGCATGACAAGTTTTGGACGTTCCTATTCTGATGGAACTTTCTTTCAGTGACTGTAAATATTTCCTTGCTGGGTAATAATTTTAATCTAAAATAGAAAAAAATACTATCGAGATATATTTCTTCTCTTTTTATTTACTTATTTAGAGATTTAAAAGATCTAATATCTAAGTAATTTAATAATTGCATAAGCATTTTTGCGAGCGTGACATATAACTTTCACAGCCTTTTTTTAGGTTACATCAAGTTTATAAAGATATGTCTTGACAAGTGAAGCATATAATGCAATAGCAAATTCCTTGTCGCTTCCTGAAGTTACCAGGACTTACTTAGTAGAATTTTTCTACAAGTTGCGATAAATCTAAATAGAACTCCGTCAGTTTTATTGGTGTCGAAACAGAGTATCCTTATTAGATGTGAAAGTTAAAGGTCAGTCTGTTGTTACAAAATCTAGAAAAATTGATAATCTATTTTTAAGAAATATTTTTGTAAACAACATTTTTTTTTACTCTTAATTTCCTGTAATGAGAATATAAACATTTTACATAATCATCAGGATTTCCCCTGCTACCGTTTCCCCTGCTACCGTTTCCTCAAAGACTTTTCTCGACAACTTAGTGACTTCCATTTCTTTAAGTTACATATTACCACAGATATTACCACAGATATTACCACAACAGATATTACCACAACCAGATCCAACTGTGTATTTCTTAAAATATATTAATATCACATAAATCATATTATTTGAGTCTAGTCGCCTTTTAGAGAAGTACTTATAAATGATTTTACTGTTTTTTATTGTCAGGTATTGATACCAATATTAAACTAACTTTTTTATACCAGCTTTTGATAAATTTAAACTGGCTTCAGTAAATTTTATTAAAATTGCCCAGCCTAATTTCTTAGACCTGGGTTTTGTCTTTTTAATGTTAAAGGTTGCGTTACCTCTGGATTCGCTTAAATGTGCACAGTAAACAAGTAGTTATAATGAATGAAGAAATGTTTTTTATAATTTTATATTCATTTCCCAACCATAAAGTAATGTTTTTTAAAATAGTTAATCATACTTTGAAATCTAAAATAGTTAATTTTGAGAGATTTTATATAACAATATTTTGATTTATAAGATTAAAAATATTGTCGCGACAAATGTCGGCGGAAAAGTTTAGACAAGAATTTTAAAACTTTTTAATGAGCTAAATTTTTTTTTTGGAATAAACGTAACTACGTAAAAATAATTAATTTAAAATAAAAATAAATCAGATTATTCTAACGCGTAACCATCACAACCTTTGAAAAGTTTCAAAAATTAAACATTTTTTTTAACCTATGGCTTCGCCTTAACCAGGTGCATGCTTAAAAACAGCTGTTCTTCTTAACGAGGTCAATCTGGTAGCTTTGAGTGTTTTCTGATGTATTTTAAAGAAATTATTTATTTACTTGTACTTTGAAATATAAATGCATTGGTATTTCTATTTAATAATTTCACAATAGTATGTATGTATGTATGTATGTATGTATGTATGTATGTATGTATGTATGTATGTATGTATGTATGTATGTATGTATGTATGTATGTATGTATGTATGTATGTATGTATGTATGTATGTATGTATGTATGTATGTATGTATGTATGTATGTATGTTTGTATGTATGTATGTATGTATGTATGTATGTATGTATGTATGTATGTATGTATGTATGTATGTATGTATGTATGTATGTATGTATGTATGTATGTATGTATGTATGTATGTATGTATGTATGTATGTATGTATGTATGTATGTATGTATGTATGTATGTATGTATGTATGTATGTATGTATGTATGTATGTATGTATGTATGTATGTATGTATGTATGTATGTATGTATGTATGTATGTATGTATGTATGTATGTATGTATGTATGTATGTATGTATGTATGTATGTATGTATGTATGTATGTATGTATGTATGTATGTATGTATGTATGTATGTATATATGTATGTATTCGAGCATGAACAGTTTAAATTACTCCCGGTTTGCTAATTATAACTGTTTAATACAATTTTGCTAATGAACTCAAATTTTTAAAAACAATAAGAAAATCTATTACATTTTAATGTTTTAAAAAAGAATTCATTAGGGGAGGGCAAATAAGCATTCTTTAGGGGAATATTTGATTTAATTGTTTTGCTAGATTTAAAAAAAAGAAACAAAATAAAAGTTTTACAAATGTTTTAATTTTAATGTTATAATTACTAAAATAAATATAAATGTCAAACCTAATATAATAAAACAGCTGTAAATACCGGACCTACCAGAATAAGACAGCTGTAAATATCGGATTTACTATTATAGAACAGGTGCAATTGTCGGACATATTAAAATAATGCAGCTGTAAATGTCCGACCAAACATAACTATAAATTGTGAACATAAAACACATCAATTTTATTATCGGAAAAAGTAAAAATAAACAACGTCAAATGTCAGACAAAACAAAAACTTTTCTAAGCAAAAAAATATATAAGTGGCAATAAATATACCGTAAATGTCAGATATGCCCAAAAAGAATTATTATTTAAGTAGTAATAACTATAATGCTAAAAAATTTTTCAACTAAAACTTTGCAATCAGTAAAATTCTATATTTGTAACTCTCTCCCTTCTCTCGTTTCAGTCTACTTTTCTTGTCTAATTTCTGTCTATTTAGTCTACTTTCATCATATTTTTCATCATATTTAGAAAGTAAAAACATCAATAATTCATTTGGAAGTGAAATCGAAAAGTCTACAAAACAATAAAAAGCAGGTGATTTGCATATGTGAGACATATAGCTGTTTTTTCATCAAAAATAATTTTATGTTCATAAGGTGTGGTAAAAAAGAAAGAAAAAGAATTCACG